ACACACACACACACACACACACACACACACACACACACACACACACAGGCACACCCGCGCACACACACAGTGTGTTTTTAAAGGTTTATGTCTAAAAAGCCTTACATCTCTGTCCCAGCCGCCGGTTGCTTTCCTCTTCAAACCACCTGATCTGGTACTTTGTTTCTTATTTTATTTGTTTATTTAGTTGCATGTGTGTGCACTTGCACACGCCACAGAACAGTCATGGAGGTCCCAGGACAACTTGCAAAGGTCGGTTCTCTTTCCACACTGTGAGTTCCAGGGATTGAACCCAGGTCAAGTTTGGCTGCCAGCACCTTTACCCACTGAGCCATCTCATTTGTCACTTCTAACGCTTCCTCTCCATGTCTCCACATCCTCCCGCAATGTAACAGCTGAGATCTAAAACTTCTAGAAACAAACAAAAAGAAACTGACATGCGAACTTTCTTTGTCCTCATTACGTTCTCCTCCCCCTTTTGGTGGTCACAGGTTAGTTATGGAGAAATCTAACTGAAGGTAATCTTTGCCCAATGTTGAAATAGTTGTTTCTTTTTAGGTTTTTGAAAATAACTTCTTGGGGCTGCAGAGATGGCTCACCAGGTAAGAGCACTGACTGCTCTTCTGAAGAGCTCCCACATGGCAGCTCACAGCCATGATCAACTCCAGGTTCAGGGAATCCTATGTGGTCTCTGACCCCTTCAGGCACCAAGCATACAAGTGGTGTACAGACACATGCAGGCAAAATGCTCATATACACAAGAATAAAGAGTTTGAAAAGAGCAAAATATCTGCTGTAATTAAAAAAAGGGAAAAATCGTGATTTTTAATGCAAAAACAGAGAGGAATGTGCATTTTTCTTATCTTGTGTTTTGTTGTTTGTTTCATTTTTTTAATTTTTGTTCTTTTGTTTTGCTTTTCTCTGTTGTTCTGCCTGTCCTGGAAATCATTCTGTAGACCATACTGGATTTCTCTGCCTCCTGAGTGTAGGTATTAAAGGTATTTGTCACCAACCTCCGGCTAAAAAGTATTTTTATAGTTTATTTTATATCTAATAAAATGTATCCGTTTAGATATTGTTTGATAAACTTTGAACAAGGAACCCCCTTGCTGTGTATGCCCCCACATTCCCCTCTTCATGTATATAGCAGTCAGGAAACACATGTGCCCTCTTGGCTGGCTGTTTACATATCTCGATACTGTCAATAGTCACCACAGGGTCATGTGAAAATTCTTCATTCTTTTCTGTTGCTTTTTTAAAATGCCCAAATAGTCCCAGCTATTTAAGAAAATAATTTTTTTTCCTGTCACGTCATTCTAGCAGTCATCAAAAACCACGTGGTGGGAACTGGAGAGGTTGCTCATGAATTAAGCACACTTGCTGCACTATCATGAGGGTCTGAGCTGGGACCCCAGTAAGCATGTAGCATGACAGGCATCCCTCCCACGAATGAGAGCCTGCAACCCCAACTCCAAGCCTGTGTGCGGTGGTGGAGGATCAAAGGGGTCTGCTGGCTCCCAGCCTGACTAAGAAAACAGCCTCGGTTTCAGAGAGAGATGCTACCTCAAAGGAATAGGTAAAGAGTGATAAAGGAGGCCAAGCAACGCCCTCTCCTGGCCTCTTTATACACACAACATGTTTTAAAAACCACTAACCGAAAATCCCAGCACGGACGGTGGGGCTCAAGAAGTCCCATCCTATCTAAGGACTACTGGTAACTCTCAGCCACGGGGGAGAGAAGAGTCCACTTTCTTCAGGAATGCAGCCCCTTGACTTCTCATCTGCAGTAGATGACCCCACACCCAAGCACATGCAGGTGGCACCAAGTGGATTCAGTGAGTTTTTGAAAAATTCACATGAAGTTGTGGGGAAAATGTATGTGAGGGAATAGAGGAGGGGATGGAGGGAAGGGATACAGGGTAGATTTGATCAAAACCTATCTGTGTATGTATGAAATTCTCAAAGAGTAAAAAGTAAATCCTAAAAAGGAAAAAATATTTTAAAGCCAGCTGGAAAAATGGCTCAGTAGTTCAGAGGACCAGAGTTCAACTCCCAACAATCACATTGGGTGACTCACAACTTCCTGTAATTCTAGCTTCTCTTGCCTGTTGATACTGTCAGGATTCAGGCATTATGCTGGCAAGATAAACCCAGGTAGTACCCTGGCCAACCTAGGATCCGACTTAGTCTGTATGCAGGTGTGAAAATCCTTTTCAGAGAAAAGCTCCACCCAGTTTCGCTCTCCAGCCCCTAGCCATTATTTTAAATCCTTTTAATTTCTTTTTTATTTTTACCTCATTTCAAGTTGTTTGGTTCTGTTGGGGGGTTTATCTGCCTGTTTTTGTGGGGTGGGTGGGTGGGTATTACTGCCATGTGTGTCTGTGAATGACATGCATGTCGATTTTCTGAAGAGACCACAAGAGGACATCAGATCCTCTGGAACTGGACTTAAAAACTGATAAAATACAAAGAGGGGTCTGTAGTAGCTTGAGTGTAACTGACCCCCATATGCTCAGGGAGAGAGTGACACCATTAGGAGGTGCGGCTTTACTGGAGTAGGTACGGTTTTACTGGAAGAAGTGTTATCACTATGGGATTGGACTCTGAGGTCTCCTATATGTTCAAGCCATCACCAATTCTTGTTGCCTGTAGGTCGAGAAGTAAAACCATTCAGCTGCTTCTCTGCTACCTTGTGCAGAGAACAAGTAGGGTCCCAGAACAAGTAAAATGACTGGTCTCTGACCTGCGGGCAGCAATACAGCACAAGGGCAGAAGGAACTGAGGAGCTGACCTGCTTCTTATCTTGACTAAAGACTGTGCCATAAGTATCAAAAGTTATCAATTTGGATACATTGTCTGCTTTACTATATAATAACTGTCAACATATATTAGGAAGGAAAAGTTAACAAAGGAAGGACAGTGGAGGTAGGGAGGGGGGGGGCGAGAAAGGACAGAGAACAGCCCAGGAATGCATCCCCAATGATAGAAGCAGCTGTACCACCCCAATTCCATTCACCCTTCCCATTGTGTCTTGGTGCGGGAGAATTGTCTGTATTCTGTCAATCATGTCTTAAATAAACGCTGATTGGGCAGGCAGGAGGTGTAGGTGGGAAAACCAGACAGGAAGTGGAAATGATGCAAGGAGAGCAGGAGAATTCTGGGAAGGAGGGAACTGATTCCTCTCACTCCTGCCCAGATCACCAAAGCAGCAGGATGTGATCTGCCCCACTGAAAAAGGTACTGAGCCACATGGCTAACATAGATAAGAGCAATGGGTTAATATAAGCTACAAGAACTAATAAGAAGCCTGACCTAATGGGCCAATCAACTTTGTAACTAATAGAGATCTTTGTGTGATTTTTCTCAGGGACTAAACAGCTGAGGGGCCGGGCGGGACAGAAACCCCAACAAGTAGGCCTCCTTCATGTTACAGTGTCTCTCCAAATCTGTCTTTCCATAGCAAAAAGAGAGAAACTCACCCCATCCCACTCCAAGGGCTTATTAAGAGATTAGTGAGCCTAAACAGAGCCTGGCTGTATGAACATTATCCCTGGGGTGGTTGGAAACAGGTGTGTCCTCCTCCGAGTGACCCCATATTGTACAAATCATATTTTTTCAACCTAAGCTTTGCCCTAAGAGGCTCCACCATCTCACCAGTATATCCATTCAGCCCAGAATGATAAATGTCGTATTCCTGGGGAAAAAAAGTGAGTCACCTTATGAGGTTGTGGGTGTGAGTTGAGACTATAGGGGCATATGGGTATATTAAAATCAAACTTAATGGGGGTAAAGTTGTAAAATCTAAATCTTAAAAAAAAAAGCCACAAATGTGTAAACTGTTAAAGACATGCCAGTTAATACTCAGTCTCCTTAAAAGTGATCACGTTTTTAAATGCTCAGAACTGTGTTCACAGTCATGTTAGGTGCATTGTAATTCATTTACAATGGCAAGCTTGATTTAGCTTCCGGTATATGATTTCAAGGTTAAACCTAAAACAAGTAACTAAAAAACAAATAAAGTTTATTTAAAAGTTGGTATACTTAACACATGCTCCTCAAACTCTACAGAGATCTGTGGAATATGGCATTTAAAGTGTTTA